ACTCCTGATGAGTCCCTTAAGAGTATCTGACCTCCCCTCTGCTGACCCCACAGCACAGGGAAAGGGAAGGCGCCAGGGAAAAAAGGCATAGGCCTCAGGTCTAGGTCTGAGGGCGACTGGTGGAGAGCCCACATTGGACACGAAGGGCTTTCTATACAGGTTATGTTTTTGTTGGAGGCCAAGTAGAAAAAGACAGAGAGCCAGAACTCAAATCAAGGCAGGGCTAAACTGTCGATGGCTGTGGCCTGGGGGCTGTGGCTGGCCATGGAGAAGAGTAACCCTGTAACCCTGCAGGCAGAAGGTCTGGAGTTAGATTTGAAGGCTTCTCGGACCCTTTCTCTCTATTCCCAGCACCGGTCAGAGCTATTCCCAGTCCCCAGTCTGTCAACCCTCTCTGGAAAGGAGCCGCTCTGAGTCAGGCCCATTCCCAGCTCAGGTGTTCCGGGAATGAGGTCTGAGGTCCGATATAGGAAGGAAACAACCCTCAGACTTGGCCTACCCCTCCTCCAGGTCCCGGCTAGTGGGCCGGCTAGTGGGCCGGAAGGAGCCGCTTTAAAGGTCTCCCTGGGGACCCCATGACCAGAAAGAGAGGGGATCTGGCCCTTGTTGAATGCCCCTGAGACTTGAAGGCAGCTAGACAGAAGGATGTGGGCCCCCATCCTCTTAGGACAGGCAGATATATGACCTCTCATCCTTCCACTTTTTGCCCCCCTTACCCTCCCTCTCTAGCTCTTTCAGGGTCCCTCACCTAGTGTCGCCCCCTATGCCCTCTCCTCTGTGCTCCTGCTCAGGCTGTGGGTTCCTGGGTCTGTGTCTGTCCCTGGACATTTTGTCCACTGACATCCTGGCGTGGGGCACTGACACTTCAGACTAGGAACCCCTGAGAGCGAGGCTCTCAGACCCTCATCTCCCCCAACTGAAGATCCCCAAGAACATAGCTATGGCACCTCCCTCTGACTAGGGTTCCCTATGTCTCTGCTCTCTGACTGGGTACTGAGGAGGAGCCAGGCTCATTTCAGAAATATGGAAACAAGACATCCAATAGGATGACCCCCTTGTCACCCCCTGGGTTCCCCTTCCAGTAGTCTAGCATCTATCCTTGAACAACAGTACACAGTTGTGAAGGGGCCCCCTGCCAGTCCCTCTACCCAACCCGGATGCTCCTTTAAGAGCGAAGGGATGGGGGTGGCCTCAGTGAGACACTAGGCCCCATCCTCCCCCTGGCAGGCCAGGTTTCCTGCCATTGACAGCATCCCAGCTGCCCCCCTCCCCCGGCCTGGCCTCCCCCCTCTCGCTTAACCCCTTCATGCCCATGCTGTGGGGACACTGGCCTGTACCCCATCTGCATCTATAAAACTAGAAGGGACCATTTCACTGACTTAAATATATAATAATTGTGTGAAGTAATAAGGATGGTCCTTAGCGAAGTACATCTTTCTCAATAAAAGTCACCTGTTGGGGTAAAAATGCTGCTCAGTTGGTGGAGGGCTTGCTTACTATCCACAAGGGCCTGGGTTCCACCCCCAGCATTGAACTGCACAAAATAGGCATGGCTGGCTCATGCCTGTGATTTTGCATTCTAGAGGTAAGCCTGGGCTACTTGAAAACCATCTCAAAACAAAACAAAAAGTTACCTGGTATTACTCATGGTGTGAATTTGGATAAGTCACTTCACTACCGTGAGCCTCAGACTCCTCTGCTCTAAGTGGGAAAAATGATAAAACCTAGCCCCAAAGATGGTCCTTGAGATGAATTGTGACAATGCACTTGAAAGCATTTTGTCAAATGCTTTCAACAACACAATTTTGTTACTATGGATAAAAATAAATAAATAAAAATAAATACCTCCTCTTCCCCTTCATAACAATGGGACAGGGATCCAGAGTCCCACAGGAGATCAGGGACCAGGGACCAGGGGTGGGAGGACCAGGTCCAAGCACTGACCTTTGAACTCTGGGTGATGGAGAGTAACACTCCATGGCAAGGGCTTCTCCTTCATATACACCAAGTCAGAGAAATCTAGTAGCTCCCCAGGTGGGAAGCCAGAGGAGCCTCTTCCACCCCTCTCTAGCTCCATTTACCACCAAGGCGCGCTGTGCGTGCCAGAGCCTTCCCACCCCATCAGGCCTAGGTGTGGTAACATAATCTTCTTGACAGACAGTGGGGCCAAGGAGAAAGAGGATTTGGGGGGTCTGCATATGCCCCTCCTACTTTACTCATTTGCTTCCCCCACCCTGCAAGTGGGATTACTATTCCTGCTGAGCCCATTCTAGGTTCCTTGGGAGGGGGTTCAAGGGAGATCCAGAGCATAGATGGAAATGGGCCTGGCAAACCTTAAAAGTGTTAGAAGGGAGGGAGGGGTTTATGCTAACTGGTTGGCTGGTAGGGGGTGGGCACCACTAGGAGAGGAGCAAAGACAGAGCTGAGCCCCGGCCTTTGAACTCCAGTGCTAAGGAGTCTGCCTACTGAGAGGGGTGGGACTCCTTTACGGCCTGGGCTTCCCCTTGAGATAAAAGGTGTCAGAGAAAAGTCTGCTACACCACTAGGGATCCCCAAGTAGGGGGCCAAAGAATGGAGACTCTTCCATCATGTCCTTTCCAGTTAGTTCCGTGTGCCATCATTAGGGCTGGACCACTGAGTTCTTGCTCAGTCCTCATGCTAAGTCTTGCTGGGACAGGCTCTCTACACACCTGCAGCACCACTGCACCCACCCTTAGAAGGCAGGGCTCACCTCTAGGAAGAGCAGGCTTGCCACACTCCAATACCAGGATTAAAACAGGCCTATACCTGCCAGAGGGGGAAAAGCAAATGGCATAGCGCCATATTCTGCCCTCCGTTCTACATCAGAGCATCAAGACTTCAGAGGGACCCTGGGGAGCAGAAGGTCTTGTTTGGGGTCATGGTACTTCCACCCAAGTTTATGGTCCCTCAGCGACAACCATTGAACCTGACAAGAGTTTATCTAAGTATCTATAAAGTTGCTGGACACGGCTCACAGGTCCTGTCAGCACCAAGACCGGTCAGGAAGGAGTTAATTGAGTCTGAGCTCTGGGTCAGGAAGAGTTAACCTAGGGGGTGGAGGCTCTTCGCTTTTCCTGTGGAGAGTAAGGCTTGGCAGCCACCAAAGGTACTGCCTAGTCCCCGCTGTCCCTCCTGCCTTCAGTCTGGGCCTACGAGGGATCCCTGAAACTCAGGGTCTCCACACAGGGGTGAGTGCATCTGAAGCCCAATGCGGGTGGGAGGGCATGAGGACAGGAAGTTACTTTTGGGCTGATGGCAAGGAGGCTAGTGCCAAGCTATTGAACCTAGCAGCACCAATGTTGAGAGCAGAAGCCTCTGCGTGGACAGAGTTGGAATTTCTAACTCAGGGGCTGGGAGAGGGCAGGCAAAGAGACAGAGGGACAAGGCTGGCTACCAGTCTAGCCAGCCTGTGGTCAAACATCAAAGCCAGCCCAGAAAACAGGGATGAGGCAGGGGAAGGAGACTATTTTGATCCTGTGTTTAGGGACTTTTTATAGCCTCCTTGCTCAAGGCTAAAGAGAGAAGGAAGGGACAGAGGCCATCCATGAGGTCAGACAAGCTCAGTGCCCTCCTGGGACCTTGGAATCTGAACCAGTGTAGTCCCCCGAGTGAATAGAGATGGACATTGGCAGGCTGTCATTGCTGCCTAGGTTTCAGTCACTCACACCGGGCAGATTTATCACATACTAGGCGGCAGTGTGGAGCAGTAGTGTGGAAAGTGTAACAGGTTGGGCGGGGGTGGGGTGGGGGTGGAGTGACCAGGGTCTCCTCTGTTAAGGTCTCTGTGAAGGGTGGTGGCCACATCCTTCTTCACACATCCTTGCCTAGCAGTTCCTTCTTGCCTATAGATCCAAGGTCCCTTCAGTCCCCAGAACTAATAAGTCTCTTTCAGCTGTATGGGAACGGGAAATCCGAGGACAGGGGTGGGCGTGTTGAGCCATGTGGGTGGCCCATTCTGTTAGCTGACAAGGAAACTCTCAGTTCTTGATTTACTGTCCCTCTTGGCCTTTTCCTCCAGCACAAGGGAGGTGAAGAAGAAGGGTCAGAGGTTTCTGGATGGGGAGGGGCCGGAGACCCGGAGGAAAGATTTCTGGGTGTGCAAGTTACTAGGCAGAATCAGTGGAGGGGACTGCTTAGTGAGATTAGAGGGCTCCTGTTGGGATTTACAGAAGCCAGGGACCGAGACCGAACACCAAAGGGAAGTCCTGACAGGCAAGCAGGGCATCCAAGACAATCTAGATCTGTACAATAAAGCAAGACATCTGGGTCCTAGGTGGCACCCTAACTCTGGAAAGGAGCTATACCAGCCCCTTCCTCTCCTGGCCATTCTCCTGGCTTCTGAAATGGAAGTGCAGGGGATGGAAGAGGTGGTGTTTACCCGTTCGGTTTTTCTGGACTCCCGTTAGCATGGGGCGCACAGTGGCTGACAGGAGCAGACTGATGCAGCCTAGGGACCACCTCCCTCTCCTTCCTGAACAGCCCTGCTGGGCCTGGGCGAGGAAGCTGGCAGTAGTTCCTACCCTATGGTTATGTCCCTGACCTCGGTGCTTGGGGGCGGGAAGGGTGGGTCGGCTGCAGCCAGACTGTGGCTGCGGAACCTCCTTGTCTTGGGCTTGAAGCTGCTCTGTTGGGAAGAGGTATTTTTTCCGGTTAAAGCCGATTTCGGGAATTGAGCTAGGGCCCGCCTGATTTTCCTTTCCAAGTGTCCTGCTTGCTTGTCCCATGTGCAAGGCCTAGGGGCCAGATCGGAGCACTCTCAAAGGGGCATACCCCGCCCCACCCCCACCTCCGCCGCCCAAAGAATCATCCAGTGCCTCTTAAGGACTGGGGAGGGGTGGGTCTAGCTTCTGCTCCCTGGGCATGGTACCAGTAGATGGCGGCGGAGTGGCTGGCCCCTCCTCTACCTAGGATTGCCTACAGGAGAGGGACAGGGACAGGGACAGCCTACCCTCTTCCAGACAGTTCCTCTCTCCCTGCAGACCCCAGGAACTCCAGAAAATTGCTGCTCATCAGCTACCTGTGCATCCATAACTGTGTATGGAGCGCTGACCTGCCCAGCTCCGCTAAGATGCTCCTGTCTTCGCCCTCCACGCCATCGAGGGGACGAACTCCCAGCGCCGTGGAGAGGCTGGAGGCTGACAAAGCCAAGTACGTCAAGACGCAGCAGGTGATAGTACGCCGTCAGGAGCCAGCCCTGCGAGGGGGACCAGGACCGCTGACGCCACACCCTTGCAATGAGCTGGGAGCCTCTGCATCGCCCAGGACGCCTGGACCTGCCCGCCGGGGTAGCGGCAGGCGACAGCCAAGGCCTGACTCCCTCATCTTCTACCGCCAGAAGCGGGACTGCAAGGCTTCGGTGAACAAAGAGAACGCCAAGGGTCAGGGGCTCGTTCGACGCCTCTTCCTGGGCGGCCCCCGGGATGCTGCCCCGAGCAGCCCGGGACCTACAGAGAGACCTGCGGCTCCCGCAGGCTGGGCTGGGTCCCCAGATGCTCCT